CCAGCAGGGGTGTACATGTAGATTTATTAAATACACCTTGTGTGCCACCTAGGAACCAAATCTAGAACCCGACACTCGAAATTTTTGCTCTGTTACAATCGTACCCTGTTACAATTGACCCCACTCTCCCCTACTATTGTCTTTAATGGAACAAAATTATGAGAGATATAAATAATAATAAACAACCTTTGTTTCAGCACTGAGGTCTATGTGATGAGTTCCAGCTTCAATGCAGGCTTTTATTACTGCCTCCCCATACAAATTATACTGGAAAGAAAAAACGAAAAAATATTACTTTATTTTATGAGGAAAAAATACGCACAAAGACAGAAAGACAGAGAGAGAGAAAATAACCTCATTAAATAATTTTTAATTTAAATATTAATTTTTCATCCGTTACTGCTTTGAAGGATGGATTTTAAATATATTAATTAATTAGCACCAATGAATTTTCAAAATCAGAGGGGCAACTGCAATCTGAAAAATATCGCCTCTGTTCAAACAAGAGAACAGTCCGAAGTCTGTGATCCTTAATATTAATTTTTGTTTTTTCGTGCATTGCATTTTATAATATCTAATTTCTGTTCTATTAAGCCTAATTCGAATGTGTCTTAATATTCTCTGTGCTATGCCTTTACAAACTAATTTTGCATTAAGGAACTTACTGTTCTTACTTTTAATTGTATTGCTAAGTAATTTTACTGACACTTATGCGTATTATAACTCATTTTATTATAAATTTTCCTGTTATTGAACAGCAAAAATTGTGACAACTATTTTCAACAAAAAGAAGTGTAAAGGAACATCTCTAGTACATTTTAATGGAATTTAAAATATTTTTGAACACAATTGTAACTCTCATTTATTCAAAAATATTTTAACATAAAATCTTTTTAACCCTCTGGGATATCGAGTTTTAACGTATAATGACAAAAAATGTGAGTTTAACTAAGTGAAGAGTGAATGTGAGTACTCATAAATTTTTTTAACAGATAGACATTATTAAAATAAAAAAATAAAATTTATATTTCTAATTATTAGATAAAAAAAGACAAATTTTAAATTTTAGCAATTTTTATCGTAGGATATATCTATGGAGTGTTTCTTCAAATTTTGTTCTTGAAATAAGATATCAAGACTCAGATAATAAGATATTTACATTACTGAAACTATCCAGAGTATTTGAATCAAATTTCTTACCCTTCTTATAATTTTGCATTATAATTAAAAATGTAATCCAATCAAAAGACTGTCGTTTTTTAAAGGTGCGCAAGCAGGAAAACAAAACAGAGAAGAAAAAAAATTTCTTAAGTGATTAAATTATAAAAAATTTGTCAAAAATATCGCATGCTGGATCACTGGAGTATAGATTTGTTTTCCGAATTTTTATTACTTCATTTAATGGTTGTTGATAAATTATAAATTAGTAAAGCACGCGAATATTTAAATAATTTTAAAATGCAATTTTAATTTATGAAATCCAGAAGTTACTAATTTGCAACTCCAAATGTGCACACTTTCAAATTTAATTCTTGATAAAAGTTTTAAATATATATATCAACGGCAAAGATTGTGCAACAACTTGTATATTAACAAAAGATCTTAAACTTTATGCAAATTGTTTGTGTGAAGTTTAAAATGTAAAAAAATACTTAAAATAATTATTATTTGAAAGAAATGCTTAATAAAATTGCGTTTTTTCCAACAATCTCAAAGTTAATACATAATTTTATTAAATGCTGCTAATTTTCAATATAAATTTATCCATTTATAATCAAAGTGCTAAAGCTTCATACTTTTTTAAGGAATGTATTGTCACAAAATCGTTCTTTAAAATTTGTTTTTAATGCTTTTTTTTTCATCCCGTAATTTCACAATAGCAATAAACAATATAATAATACATTTAAACGATAAAAAGTTTCACATAATGTTCAAAACTTTCTAATTATTTTTAAAAATTTACGTTGCAAATGTTTTAAATATAAATTATTTTCAAAAATTTCCTCATGGATAAAGAATTATAACTTACATTATTATTTCGGTAATTAATTATTTTGATAAATTTACGTTACAAATGTCTGATATATAAGTTTTTCAAAAGCATTTCCTAATGAATAAAAAATCATGACTTACTGGTCCCACGCAATTGAGTATCAATTTGGTTCTTTTACATAGATTTAATAATGATAATGCATTGTTAACATCTGCTTCTATCAAAGGAGTCTCTGTAATATCTATTTCTGAAATATAAAATCTTAATTTGTTTATCATCCATAAGATAAATAAGGAATAGATACATAATTGGAATATTAAACATAACAAAATATAATATTACAAAATATAATTTTCATAAACTTTTAATATACACTCTATAACAAAAAAATCGACGCACCAAGAAGCAATCATCTGATTGCTTTGAAATTTCGTATTCATGAATGTTTTGAACAGATATAGCTGGAATGATGCCGACTGGGGATGTATAGTCTTTAGCGACGAATTCCGCTTCCAACTGTGTCCTGACGATAATCGAAGACGTGTTTGGAGACGCACAGGGCAGAGGGGGGATCCTGCCTTCACTATTGCATAACCCACCGGCCTTCAACAAGGCATTATGGTCTGGGGTNCCCTCTTCCAACTGTGTCCTGACGATGATCGAAGACGTGTTTGAAGACGCACAGGGCAGAGGGGGGGGGATCCTGCCATCACTATTGCATGCCCCACCAGCCTTCAACAAGGCATTATGGTCTGGGGTGCCATTTCCTTTGACAGCCGGACCCCTTTGGTCGTCATACACTTACTGCACAGCGGTACGTCGACGACATCCTAAGACCTGTTTTGCTACCGTTTCTTTAGCAGCGCCCTGGGCTGGTTTTTCAGCAGGACAATGCCAGACCACATACGGCACGTGTTGCTATGAACTCTCTGCAAGCTTGTCAAACTCTTCCTTGGCCTGCCAGATCACCAGATCTCTCTCCCATCGAGC